GTAGGGGGGAGATACCAGTCAGAAACAAAATCAAATCTTTGTTGTTACTCTCATTATTTTAGTCACGGGTTCATTCATTCATTCCTATATTTAATGAATATCTACTATGTGCCACATGCTGTTCCAGGCTCTGGAGACACCATGGTGAACAGAATGAGTCCTTGCTCTCATGAAGTTATCGTTCTAATAAGGAAAAAAGACAGTAAACAATGGTATATATGTGTGTGTCTATACACATTTGTATGTGTATATACTTTTCATAAATATGGATATCTCTGTATACAATTGTATATGAAGGTTAAAAATCTAAGTTTATATAGATTATTCAGATAGAACAGACTATTAAGAACTGTTTGAGGAGAAACCTATACAAAGTGAGAAATACAAGTACTAAAGTCTTAAAGTGCAAACATCCTCAATGTGCTGTAGGAATTGCAAGGAAGTGAGTGGAAGGAACTTTATGAGATGTTAAAATCCTGAGAATATGTTGGAACAAGATCAACAAAGTCCCTCAATATTACAAAAAGAAAAAAAAATATTCTGGAAGAGAGACTGAAAGAGATACTTCAGGGTTTAGTAGACTCCGAGACAGCTATAGACAGGACCCAGTTGGTATATTGTGTGCAAAAATAATATTTAACCTGTGAATTGAATCTTTCTTACTCAACCAGAAAATAAAAATTTTGCTTGTCTTGCTCAAATAGTTGAAACATTATATCTAGCACAAATTTAAATGCCTGAAGGTAACAGTTAAACCAAATCTTATCTCATTGTATTTAACCTTTTTCATAGGTGTTTTTCCAAGCATCCAAGCATTGTTAACTGTATGTGCTTGACCTGAGGGAAGAATAGGACTGCAGTATACTGATAGAGAAGCTAGGGTTGAAGTTTTTTGGTTTCTCCTACTATACTTATAGCATTTTCTTGAAACAGCATAATCCTCTTTACAGTAGCTCACAATGTCTCCATATATATAAGCTCATTTCACTTCCAAAACAAAATTGTAAAATGATAAATTAGCCACTCTTGTGTACCTTTTTAAAAACATAGGTGACATATGAATAAAACATAGAGAATATTGTAAAATAACTGTCAAAAAACTGAATTGAGATAATCATAGATATATAGAATATATAAAAATTAGCTAATTTGTACAATTCATTTTAAATCCCTAAAACCAGGATGTTAACATTTTTGTGACAAAAAAGCGTTTCCATCCAGAATGCAATCTATCTTTCCACTTATATGGGTTCTTACATAGAACAAAACCTGTCTTGGTACTTATACAGATTTTATTTCATTTCCTTCTGCAATTTTTTATGATTCTTTTTATGGAAGACTTGTACCTTTCTTGCCAAAGATGTTTTTAAAAATTGCATGTTCACTTTGTTGCTTATGTGAATTTGATCTTTCGATTTGAATTGCCAACTGTTACTGTTATAAAAGAGAACTTTACATTTTCACGTGCATTTCTTCTTCAAAGGCAGCTTATGTGACTAAAATATAAAATAGTATAAATTGCAGATACATTATTAACTTTCTTGAGCTAAAGGAGGCAGATAGCATATTTGATTAAAAAACGTTACTTTTTGTTTCTTTAACTTTTGTAATGCTTTCCAAAATTTTTCCAACTCTATTGCATTACCTAGAACTTCTGAGATAATGTTGAGTGCTGCCATAGATTGTGAGCATCCATATTTTGTTTTAACTCTAGAGGGTTATGAATTGGTATGAATTGGGTATGGGATTTGAATTGGGAGATTGGGATTGACATTTGCACCCTACTATATATAAAGTAGATAACTAATGAGAACCCGTTGTGTAGCACAGGGAACTCTACTCAATGCTCTGTGGTGATCTAAACGGGAAGGAAGTCTAAAAAACTGGGGTATATATACGGACAACTGATTCACTTTGCTGTTCAGCAGATGCTAGCATGACATTGTAAAGCAACTGTGCTCCAATAGTTTAAAGAAAAAGGGGGGGGGGGTATGTGAAGGAAAACATAGACTAGTGAACATGGAAGACTTAAAAGAAGTTGCAGTATAATGACCTCAATGTAGAATCTCAAAATGACAAACTCACAGAACCAGAGAGTAGAATGTTGTTGTTCAGTCATCCAGTCACGTCTGACTCTTTGTGACCCCGTGGAATGCAGCATGCCAGGCCTCCCTGTCCCTCACCATCTCATGAAGTTTGCCCCAAGTTCATGTCCATTGCATCCGTGATGCTTTCCAGCCATGTCATCCTCTGACACCTTCCTCTCCTTCTGCCCTCAACCTTTCCCAGCATCAGAGACTTTTCCAATGAGTCGTCTGTTTGTATTAGATGACCAGGATATTGGAGCTTCAGCTTCAGCATCAGTCCTTCTAGTGAGTAGTCAGGGTTGATTTCCGTTAAGATTGATTAGTTTGATCTCCTTGCTGTTCAAGGGACTTTCAGAAGTCTTCTCCAGCACCACATTTCAAAGGCATCAATTCTTTGGCATTCTGCCTTCTTTATGATCCAGCTCTCATAATTGTACTTGACCACTGGGAAAATCATAGACTTGACTATATGGACCGTGGTCAGCAGAGTAATGTCCCTGCTTTGCAAAATGCCATCTAGGTTTGTCATAGCTTTCCTGCCAAGAAGCAATAGTCTTCTGATTTTATGACTGCAGTCAGCATCCGCAGTGATTTTAGAGCCCAGGAAGAGGAAATCTGTCACTACTTTCACCTTTGCCCCTTCTGTTTACCATGAAGTAATGGGGCTGGGTGCCATGATCTTAGTTTTTTGATATTTAGTTTTAAGCCAGCTCTTTCACTCTTCTCCTTCACCCTCATTAAGAAGCTCTTTAGTTCCTCTTTGCTTTCTGCCATTAGACTGGTATCATCGACATATCTGAGGTTGTTTTGCTGTTTCTCCCTGCAGTCAATTCCAACTTGTAATGCATTCAGCCCGGTATTTCTCATGATGTGCCTAGCATATAGGTTAAACAGGGGGACAGCAGAAAGCCCTGTCATACTGATTTCTCAATCTTGAACCAACCATTTGTTCTGAAACTGTTCTAACTGTTGCTTCTTGACCCACATTCAGGTTTCTCAGAGACAGGTAGGATGGTCTGATATTTCCGTCTCTTTAAGAGCTTCCCACACTTTGTTATGACCCACACAGTCAGAGACTTCAGCATAGTCAATGAAACAGAGGTAGATGTTTTTCTGGAATTCTCTCGCTTTTTCTGTGATCCAGCGAATGTTGGCAATTTGATCTCTGGTTCCTCATTTTCTAAACCCAGCTTGGACATCTGGAAGTTCTTGGTTGGTCTAATGCTGAAGCCTAGCATGCAAGATTTTAAGCATTACCTACTAGCATGGGAGATGAACGCTATTGTTCGATGGTAGAATAGCTGTTCTTAAAAGTGAGTCTGGAGGTGCTGTTAAAGGGAAAAAAAATTTCCAGTTTATCAGATGAATAACTTCTGAAAGTACGGTGATTTGTATTACTGATGCTGTATCACATGCTCAAATGTTACTGAGAGAATAGATCTTAAACATTCTCACTAAATATTCATACACACATACAAATGCTGATTATGTTAGGTGATGGAGATGTTAATTAAATCTTCATGTTTTTCACCTTAAACTTAATATTATATATCAACTATGTCTCAATAAATCTGGGAAAAAATTTTGGGAGGCATCCAAAATTTTGTAAGGCCTTGATAGAACATTGGTAGCATAAAATCAGCCAAAGTATTAATAACGCAGAAATTGGAAACTGAAAATTGAACAGGAGAGAAGAAAATGGAGTAGTGAGCATGGGAGACTTACAAGGAGGGAGGTAGTAAATGAAAAAAGGAAAGATTGGTAATTAATGTTGAGGGAAAAAATATAATTATTTTTTATAAAATAGCATTTATATTGTTTAAAATATAGAAATCATACACAAACAAGAGAAGATTGAAAGTAATCACTGAATCACCAGAAAGTTGTCAAAAATAGATTTATGCTAAAATATGAGCTAAAGGGGGGAAAAAAAAACTAGTAAAAAATTACATTTTTAACACAGTAGGAAGACACACATTTCATGATAAAAAGATAAGGCTGAGCTGAAATCTTAGCTATGCTAGTTACTAGTTGAAGATCATGGACACATCAAAAAAACTTTTGGGACCTCCATTAAATGAACTTTAAAATGATTATATGTAAAGTCATATGTGCATATGAAAAATCTGTGTTAAACTGTACATTATTTAAAAATATAGTGGATTACATTTGATGTATTTGGGGAAGAAAAAGATGACTTAGGCAGGATTTTAATGGAATGAGGCAAAAAAATGCATATCAAAAGTAATACCACCTAGAAACTTTTTTGGCACTCAAGAAGGAAGTCAAGCCCCAGATACAGTGTGGTCAGTGACTCTTTGGTTAACTAGAAGAGAGAAGAGTTAAAAAACTGAAGAAATATTATAACACAGGTTTTGTGGGTATTTATTAAAATTACTTTAGTGTAGCTTTTTTGCAGTCTGAATGGCCCGATTCACAGTCCTAAGAACAGAAAAAGTAGTTTTAATATTGATGTCTCAATTACAAGTTTTATGCTATTATGCTATTATGAGTCCTAGTGCACTTAATAAATAGAAAGGAAAACACTATTTAGATTGCTTAATCAATCCAAAGCTTTGCTTCTTCCTCTTTACAGAATTTTGTTAACACAATACTGAGTAAATATGACCTCTGTCTAATTAAATTCACCTATTTACAGTCAGAGAACAATTTATCATGCTTCACACTTTTATTCATAACTATTTTTCAATTAATGTTTAAAATATGACTTGTGAGCTTCAGGATGCAAAAACCACTCTCATTTTGATAAGTCACATTAGAATGCCATTATACATATCTCAATGTGGTTATTATTGTGCAATTTTGAATTTAAAGTCTATTTGCAAGATATTTTAATGCTGTGCTTTTGCATGTGGCCCATGCTCACCTTTTAAAATGTGGTTTCTCTTTTAGTGAAGACATGTGGCTCTAATCTTCAAGGACCAAGTGGAACCTTTACGTCTCCCAACTTTCCATTCCAGTATGACAGCAATGCACAATGTGTCTGGGTCATCACAGCAGTGAATACAAATAAGGTAAGTGAAAACCATCTCTGGTGCAAAAGCATAGTCATAAAGACAAAAGTAAGGAAATCATGAGGGAAAGGGCAGTAAAGAAAATTCACAGCTAAAGTATGATTTCTGAAATATTTCCTACCTATACATTATATAAAACCTACACTTATATGAGAAATAAGAAAAACAATTAAATACTGTAATTTTATCTCAACTAACATATAAATCAGAACACATTAAAATTATAAATAAATGTTTTCTGAGATATGCTTTTGAAGTTTGTAAGTATATTTATTTTTCAAAGATGCCATAAAAAATGACTTATCACTTCATATCTTTCTACTTGTTTTATCATTCAGGTATATCCTGTTTCTATACATAGCTGGTTTTCCTTTCAATGTTTCTGTATTGCCACAGATCACACAGCTATTCTTTATTGTAAAGTTTACTAATGTGCTCTACTAATAGAAGTTTCATTATTTCGGCATTTCTAAAGTTGGGCTCCAAAATCACAGCAGATGGTGATTGCAGCCATGAAATTAAAAGACGCTTACTCCTTGGAAGGAAAGTTATGGCCAACCTAGATAGCATATTAAAAAGCAGAGACTTTACTTTGCCAACAAAGGTCTGTCTAGTCAAGGCTATGGTTTTTCCAGTGGTCATGTATGGATGTGAGAGTTGGACTGTGAAGAAAGCTGAGCACCGAAAAATTGATGCTTTTGAACTGTGGTATTGGAGAAGACTCTTGAGAGTCCCTTGGACTGCAAGGAGATCCAACCAGTCCATCCTAAAGGAGATCCATCCTGGGTGTTCATTGGAAGGACTGATGTTGAAGCTGAAACTCCAATACTTTGGCCACCTCATGTGAAGAGTTGACTCATTGGAAAAGACCCTGATGCTGGGAGGGATTGGGGGCAGAAGGAGAAGGGGATGACAGAGGATGAGATGACTGGATGGCATCACAGACTCAATGGACATGAGTTTGAGTAAACTCCGGGAGTTGCTGATGGACAGGGAGGCCTGGCGTGCCGCAATTCATGGGGTCGCAAAGAGTCAGGCACGACTGAGCAACTGAACTAAACTGAACTGAAAGGTTGTATTGTCTATTTGACTAAAATGAGTAATCTATCCAAATACGTATATAACACAGAAATCAAACGAAATTATAATGCTGAATGAACAAAAAAGCAGGGAACAATTAGCAAGCTTTCTGTTCCTTTTCTCGCCATCCTGCTTCTCCTCCTAAGGATATGTAGCAAGGACCTACATAGGAAGAATCAAAATTTGTCTCAGATTTTATAATATCTTTTCTGGGTTATATTAAGAAAAGGTTGGTGATAGAACCCATAAAACTGGGTCGAATTTGTATTTCAAATACTGATTTATAACTTGGCAACTAATGACTTTGATCAAGCTATTTAACTTCTCTGAAATTGTTTCTTTCTCTATGAAATGTGGATAATAAGAACATATTTTTCAGTGTTATGAGAAGTAAATGAGGTAATGCATAGAGGGTACTTAGAGTTAGTAGGTATTTTAAAAATGTTAACTAGTTATTAGATACAGAATATGCTATTTTCCAGAAAGCTTTGGGTTTTATGTTCATAATATATAATCATAAGAGTAGAAAAGTGGTGTTAAAAATTAACTCAGTGGTAAATTAGACTTGCCTCATGGAAGAGCCCTGATAGTCATAAGAACTAGGTCAGAAGCCTAGCCTTCCCTAAACTATGTGTATAAACTTGGACAAAAAAAATCACTAAATCTAATCTTTCATCTGCACAAAGGAAGTCATTTTACTCATCCAACCCATATCATCAATTCAGTTCAAATCAACAAGTTTTATTTATTGAATACCTTCTCTGAGAAAATTATGGGTTTCTGAGGAAAAAAAAAAATCAAGAACTACTTGAAAAATAAAATCACATTTACTGAACATTTAGCAACATGCCAGGTGTTATTCACAGTACTTTTCATGATTTATTTAATTGAAAAAATTCCCTTAATATGAAAATATATTTTTATGTCTGCATTTAATAAAGAGTCTAAATAATTTGTCTGATCACATAGATAGCAAAGGTCAGTGTTATGTACCATATAACATGTGGGCTGCTTACCATGACATATCTCATCCTAAGACGTAATTATCTTATACTAAGATAACATGAATCACATTCATTATGAAGTATGGAACAGATGTTCTGTATTAATCTTGTATTGAGATAGAACCTTTTTTGTGTGATAGTAACTACCTATGATTTTCAGAACACAGTGATGATTATCTCCTGTTCAATAAGATGTCTAATTTGCTAAGTTTAATTAGTTTTCATTATTGACTTACTTGAATTTTCATAGAGATCATGACATTTCTCCTTGTTTTTCTTAACCAGTCCACCAAACATTTATCTATTGTTTTTCTCTCTTAAAATACTGATTTTCTAAGGAAGATATATTAATGATTACTTTCTTTACTCTTTTTATTGAAAGCTGATTGGGTACATTCTTTTTGATCTGTTGGTTTACATTCATTGTAAGATATCCTATGAAAATTCAAGCATTTTCAAGCATAACCCACAATTATATTTAAACATTTACTCACTCACACACACACATACACACAGTGCGAGAAAATAATTTCCCCTAACTATATGAAATCACTTCTCTATTTTATAACATGTTGTAATCTATTTTTAAATATTGTTCACACCTCACAAAGTTAATTTTATAATACAGTAACAGGTTATAGCTGTGTATTTTGACAAATACAGTTGGAAGGTTTTCTTGCATAGATTGCCATGTCTGAACTCTTGGTAAGACGATTACTGTCATAAAGCACAAGCACAGAGCTCTCTTTCTTCCTTTAAACCCAAATTAACCAACATATTAATGCCTCAATATCTATGATTTTCTTCAAAAATAGTTGCTCATATTTTTATTTATGTTTGATAATTTAAAAGCAACCACTGGGGAAGATTCAAGATGGTGGAAAGCACCTTTTCCCTCAGATATAATATATAGCTAAATATGGGATAATTTCCTCTGAAGAGAGCCTGAAAACAGGATGAAAACAATCTCCACTACAAAGGGTGAAAGGATAACAACAAAGGGCAGGTAGGAGAAATAGAGATGCAGCCATACCAAGTACAGTTCAGTTCATTTATTCAGTCGGTTCTGACTCTTTGTGTATCATGGACTGCAGCATGCCAGGCTTCCCTGTCCATCACCAACACCTGAAGCTTGCTCAAACTCATTTACATTGAGTCAGTAATGCCATCTAATCATCTCATCCTCTGTTATCCCCTTCTTTTCCTGCCTTTAATCTTTGCCAGCATCAGGGTCTTTTCCAATGAGTCAGCTCTTCACATCAGATGGCCAAAGTATTGAAGCTTCACTTTCAGCATCAGTCCTTCCAATTAAGGACTGATCTCCTGTAGGATCAACTGGTTGGATCTCCTTGTTGTCCAAGGGACTCTCAAGAGTCTTCACCAATACCATAGTTCAAAAGCGTCAATTCTTTGGCACTCAGCTTTCTTTATAGTCCAACTCTCACATCCATACATGATTACTGGAAAAACCGTAGCCTTGACTAGATGGACCTTTGTTGACAAAGTAATGTCTCTGCTTTTTAATATGCTGTCTAGGTTGGTCATGAATTTTCTTCCAAGGAATAAGCATCTTTTAATTTCATGTCCTCATTCACCATCAGCAGTGATTCTGGAGCCCCCCAAAATAGTCTGCTACTGTTTCCACTCTTCCGATCTATTTGCCATGAAGTGATGGGACCAGATGCCATGATCTTAGTTTTCTGAATGTTGAGCTTTAAGCCAACTTTTTCACTCTCCTCTTTCACTTTCATCAAGAGGCGCTTAAGTTGTTTTTCACTTTTGCAATAAGGGTGGTGTCATCTGCATATCTGAAGTTTTTGATATTTCTCCTGTCCAATCTTGATTCCAGCTTATGATTCGTCCAGCCCAGCGTTTCTCATGATGTACTCTGCATATAAGTTAAATGAGCAGAGTGACAATATACAGCCTTGATGTACTCCTTTTCCTATTTGGAACCAGTCTGTTGTTCCATGTCCAGTTCTGATGGTTGCTTCCTGACCTGTATATACATTTCTCAAGAGGTATGTCAGGTGGGCTGGTATTCCCAGCTTTTTCAGAATTTTCCACACTTTATTTTGATCCACACAGTCAAAAGCTTTGGCATGGTCAATAAAGAAGAAATAAATTTTTTCTGGAAACTTTTTTGCTTTTTTGATGATCCAATGGACATTGGCCATTTGATCTCTGGTTCCTCTGCCTTTTTTAAAACTAGCTTGAGCATCTGGAATTTCACGGTTCACATATTGCTGAAGCCTGGCTTGGAAAATTTTAAGCATTACTTTACTAGCGTGTGAGATGAGTGCAGTTGTGCGGTAGTTTGAGCATTCTTTGGGATTGCCTTTCTTAGGGATTGGAATGAAAACTGACCTTTTCCAGTCCTGTGGCCAGTGCTGAGTTTTCCAACTTTGCTGGCATATTGAATACAGCACTTTCACAACATCATCTTTCAGGATTTGAAATAGCTCAACTGGAATTCCATCACCTCCACTGGCTTTGTTCATAGTGATGCTTTCTAAGGCCCACTTGACTTCACATTCCAGGATGTCTGGCTCTAGGTGAGTGATCACACCATCTTGATTATCTGGGTCATGAAGATCTTTGTACAGTTCTTCTCTGTATTCTTGCCACCTCTTCTTAATATCTTCTGCTTCTGTTAGGTTCACTCCATTTCTGAAGGGCCGGGCTTGTTGGGCTTGTTCCACTGGGCAGGGCTATTCTCAGTAAATCTTTAATCCAATTTTCTGTTGATGGGCGGGGCTGTGTTCCCTCCTTGTTTTACCTGAGAGCAAACTGTGGTGGAGGTAATGAAGATAATGTGACCTCTTTCGTAAGGTCCCATGAACCAAGAAACTGACCTAGACTTCCCTGTGTGTCCAGGATTCTCTGGCAGAGGCAAGAGTCAGGGGCACTGAGTGC